TATATAACGAGAGGGGAAATTTTTGTTTTAATGAATCTATGGAATAGAGTAGACAAGGTCTGTTTTGCAAAAAAACATTTTTAATAAACTGCATGAATGGCAGGTTTGTTTAAAAGCCTAATGCAGACTTCTACAAAGGCAGAAAATTGTTTTTTTCCAAGTTTATTTAAACTAGAGATTTTATTTAATTTAAAAATTAAAAAAATTGTTTAAATAGCTGGAGTACAGAAAACGAGCTAAAGTAATGTAAAACTTTTTTTTTTCAGTTGCAATCTTTATGTGTACTGGTGAAATAAGCAGATTTCTACCAAGGCAGCCAAGTGTGATTTTTAATAAAACATTTAGACAGTTTTTTTTAAAGGGAGGAAATAAGTACTTGTAGATGGGGGCTGATTTCATACTTTGGCTTCATACATAATACCTCATCCTTTACCGGTCTCTTCCCTGACTTTGTCTGAAAACATTTCTATTGAAGCGTTATTGTAGTGGTCACTGTTTAGTTCTAATTCACTCAGCCATAGTAAGGCCACTAAAATAAAATCTATGACCTCTGAAATGCTCTTATTTGCATATTTTATAATCTCATCGTGTGACAAAATGAAAGGTAAATAAACTTTTTACATTTTCATTTACATTAAATGCCTATATTACTCAAAGGATACAATAATTTTAAATGAAACATTRTAAAAACAGGCATAAATATAAGGCACTCTAAATGCAAAAAAGAAACATATTGTATACATATATATTTATATATTTATATATCATTACCACTGAATGCTTTAAAGAACCACAAGAAAGTGACGTCTTTGTACCTTTTGCCCTATTGTGAGGAGGTGTGAGCGACTCCTCTGTCTTTAATTAGAATCTGTATTTAAAAGGATGCTTTCAGTGTCACCTGTGTTGGTGTGGAGGGGACAATAATGCCATGAGTGAGTAACGTAGCCACATTAAACCCTATCTAAAACACATTTATTGCACAAGAAAAGATTGCACTGAATCAGAATACAGTTTTGTCATACTGATGTGCATTCCAGTGAAAAATATCTTAATTTCCTCCATAGCACACAACTCTTAATCTGAACGCTTTCATAGACAAATCCCTCATTAATATAACCTTTATGCACTTATATATTTAGAATGTTATAGCTATACTTTAATATACATCTATTTGACATTCTGTACCTTATACTTATATATTATTGTCCAATTCATCAGATTCTCTCTTATTGTAAAATGGAAGAACTAAGATAAACTGTAGCAGCAACTTCATACTTTGCTCATTCCTGTTGATTCTGCAAATCCCCGGTTTATATAATGGAAGTAATTAAGGTACTATGTTAATGATAGTGGACAGGAAAAAAAAAAAACAAATGTTAAAGGAACACACACATACACACCAAAAAAACAACTTTAAAACAAAGTTACAATTTGGTAGTGTGACGTTTTTGCACCAAGTGTGACAAAACGAACGAAAGTAATAAAGAATAATTCTCTGCAAAACGGCACATACATTAGAACAGTTCTACAGCTTAAAAAAATTACATGTTTTACCACCTTTTTTTTCTCCAAGTGATAAATTTGTGTAGAAAAAAAATCACACAGTTCAAAAAAAGCACATCAGTTGTATAATAAAATACTAAAAAACTAAAACAATAGTTTTTATTTGTTTCATTTTGATGTTACTCTCAGCCCCAAACTGAAATGGTTAACATTGTGACAGGAAAAATGGGTAATAATTCATCACTTAGTCTGTCTGGCTTGCTGTTGTGGACCAAGCATTGTCATCTTCTGCAATGGTTTGTCTGTGGACTTGATTGTGAAACAGGTTATTTTTTTGTTTGTTTTGTTTTTTTACAATGTGCATTTAGTTGTTTCTCTCTGCAGTTCTGTGTGCCTCCATCGTCTCTCGTTATGGGTCATAATCATTGATGCATTTCTGACGATGCTGTTATTGTTCGTTTACTCTTTTCTTGCGTTGGTTTCATTTAGTTTTTATGAGCCCCCCAAAAAACAAATCCTTGAAGCATAAAGAAAAGGTAATTCCACATGATGCTTCAACAGTTCGGATTCTCTTGCTTTGTACCAAAGCAAGTTTTTATTTTAAGTGGGGTTGGGACATACTTGGTCCTCCAGAAATGATCTTTTTTTCTTTTTTGTGTTTTGTTTTTGTCAAATCATGTCACACATCCAACACTTAACGGATTGTTAGCAAGGAGTTGAGTACTTTCTCAAGCAGGAATTTATGGCTCAGAAGAGAGGCTCACTAGGATGTGTTTGTTTTTTTTCCCAAAGGGCCCTCTGCTCTTATTTTCTAATACTGGGTGTTTTACGTTGCATAGTGATCAAAGCTTCCCAAATATTCCAAGCCAGCTCTGTAGCAGAATTGGTATTGATCCTGGAAAGAGAGAAAACATCAGTGCCCAAGTTCTCTTTGTATTTTTTGTGCATGCACATAATCACCTGTCTCTCTTATTCACCAAAGATTTGAAAAGAAGTGTTTAAAATATAAAATGGTGTAAAAACATTGGCAAGCATTTGTAAAATGATGTAAAAAATCTGCACTGGGGACTACTGTAGTCTGATTCAGCTACTAAATTAATCATAGCCTTTAAAAGAGGCTTGCTTAAGAATTAATCTTTTTGGCTCAAGAGGATTCTTAAAATCCTCCCACAACATTTAAAGAACTGGAGTAAAATATTAGAACTAGAGTAGATGATGAAGTGTGTTCTCATACACCTCACCTCTGTCTGTACCATAGCCGGTCTTTGTGTCCGTAGCATCTTCACTGTCTGAAAGATGTCTACTACGCCCTCGTATCTCATTCGTTCCAAGACAATGCTTAGGGTGATGAAAACTCCAGTTCTACCGACACCCGCGCTGTGGAACAGAGAACAAAAGGGCACAGAGGTCTAATTTGTAGCCAGAAGTACTTGTACATGTGATTTATTCACTCTCAATAGAAAGCTTCAGTTTGTACAACATACATTAGCTTTTTGGTTATGCTGGTTGATCACCTACCTACAGTGGACCGTGATCGGACCGTCTTGGCCAAACTGCTCTTTTGTTTTATGTACTTGGCCAATGAAATCGATGAAACCCTCCCCTGATTTTGGCACTCCTTGTTCAGGCCAGTCCGTGAACTGAAACTGCCTTACTGTCCGTGACTGTCCATCCTGAAACCAAAAACAGCATGYCACTCAGAAACTAGAGTTCTACTTTCCAGAGCCCTTTCCATCRTGTTTAAACTGGACAAAGGTTTTTAAGGTGTTTCTCATTATACCTAAATGTGTTGAATGTAAACACTAAGGCACTGATTGCTTTGATGTGCTACTCTTGACAGGGTGTCGGGAATCTCGACTTTGAGGTTGTGCATCGTTTATATGATGTTGTATCCTTCTCGATAAGGAAAGCAATCCCATTGATGCGACAGTGTAACATTCTCTACAAAGGAGGGAGTCTGCAACATTTATCTGTCTAAGCCTTTGATGGAATTAAAAAAACTGTGGCAGCTCAGTGCTGCCGGCACAACATTTACATTTATTTTTTATACTCTGACATATGTCAACTCCCACAAGTTTCCATTTGCACTTTGGGCCATAATAATGTGGTACAAACAAATAATTGTGCAAATGGCAATACATACTTTTTTTCTAAATAACTCTTAACAAATGTCAGCAATTACAGTCAGTCTTGAACCTTGTTAGTCATTTTTTTCTCTTAATTAAAAAATAACAGAAAATAACCACATTTATAGCTTATTGTTCTATGCTCTTAGAAAATGTTTGGACTGCTGACTTAAAATTATTTTCAGTCATTTTGAATGACTCAAAGATAAAACTTGGATTTTGAACTTCCAGTTCCATAATGAAAGCACACCCTCTTACCCTGGCGTCAGTCACTTTGAACTCCCTCAGGATATACTGGGGCATGTTATATTCAGCCATGGGGTCCACCACAAAGTACTGGTATCTGGCCGATCTCTCTGCTGGCCAGTACTGGTGGCATTTTTCCTGAAGAAACACACCGATGTAAGTCACATCATCATCTTCATAAACTGATTTTATTGTGCTATAAGCTAGAATTTTTTAGTATTTCATATAAAGTTGCGAGTGTGCGTACCCTGCCCATTTCTCTAAGCTTGGTGAGCATGACTACAATAGTGGAGTTGTGCTCCCAGAGCATTCTCCAGAAGTCCTCTGTGGTCTCTGCCAATGGTCCCTGTGTTGCAATGTAAGCCTTCTGTTGCCTGAAACAGTGAGAAAAATACATTATTTAACTGCCAGGGGAGTATGACATTTTTCTACTTTGCAGAGCTTAGTGATGATTTGTTGATGTTTTCACACTTACCTGTACCCATCAATGAAACTGGCGTTGATGTAGTCGGAGCCTTCGACTCCTCGGATGGGCTGAAGACACACTCGTGTGGACTCATATGGCATTATGTTAACAAGGCGGTTCTTAAACTTGTTGCAGGGGAGATTGGCACTGATGAATCGTGACGTATGAGCTTTAGTGTTAGCTAAACGCTATATGGCAAAAGGAGAAAGAGAGACTCTTGAGTGCAATGCCAGTTGGAAATGTTCAAGGTTTTATTCTTTATCCTGACTGTCTTTGACAGAGAAGTCTTTTAACATTTGCATACCTTGAGTATAGGAATAAATAAAAAAAATTCAGCTGAACAAAGCTAGTTTTTAATATATTGACTGTGGAAAGACAAATGTCTGTGGTAGGGAAAACCCATGTTTGTCATTTTTTAATGTAAACTAAGACCAATGTGGCTAAAGAAAGAGGGGCTATGAAAGGGAAAAGCAATAAAAAGGAATATATCATGCTGTATTACACAAGCAAGTGGGCAAAATTAAATAAAGATGAAACCACAGGCCCCATAATGTCTACTTGGGCCAAACTGGGTCTGGAAAGAAGAGTTTGTAAACGGGCACTGAAGCTTGGATGTAACTTGGGGCACAAGTCACAAAAAAGGAACAAAATGTATCCAGATTTCACTAATAAACAGTTTGTACCTTGAACTCAAGTTCCATTCCCGTGACATTCTCTCCACCCTCTATCTGAGTCAGTTTCTGGATGTAGGCGTAGAGGTTTCTGGCGGGCACTTCGGTGGTGCCGCAATTGACGGCCTCCTGGAGTGCATCGTGTATAAAGACGTACTGATCTTCTGTCTGCACCATGTAGTTGCGTTGAGCACGCATTAATGTTACATGTCCGTAGATATCCACGGTCTTCTCATGCTTGATACGCTCCAGCATTGCATCAATCACAATAAAGCAACCTGTGCGTCCAACCCCAGCACTGTGGTGGAAAAAATACAAAGGATATAAAAAAGTAGGATGGAAAATGCAAGGAAGGCAAAAAGGTAATCATGCAAGCCTTTTGGGGTAAAAATAGATCATCTAAGCTAAAATTGGGGCAAACTTAATCTAAAAGTAATGTTTCAGAGATGTCTAAAACCAGATTTGGTTCTCAAATAGACTTTTTTACATTTACCCAAGATTGGCAAGAAGAATAAACCACTTCCTCTGTAGGGAAATCAAACTCAAGATCTCTAGAATGCATCTGTTTCATGAGTTTAATCTGTTAAAATCCAGTATGTGCTCAATAGTGTTATGCATGATTTAAAACTTCTTATGTGCCTCTTCCATATTTTAGATAGATATTTGTGGACATACCATTCAAAAAACCATAATTTTGTAAGACTATCTATTTGTGACCTTTTCACAAAACGCCACTTAAAAATACTAACAAACTATTCTTTTGACAAAAGAAGAGGTGGTACATTTTTTTTAGATGTTCAGAAGCTTGAAGTTGTCCCTGCAGGGTCAAAAGTTACCTCCTTCACCATGTTTGTAACTATAGAATAAACCAGCTTCAGCTTGAGCTATATTTCTATTTGGAGTGCCTCTAAAGGCAGCCTTTAAAACGCCCCAAACCAGTTTTGCAGTCTAGCTCTTCACYCTTTGACCCCATTTGTGCATTCGACCTGACCAGACCTTATGCACTTACGCAACAGGTATTTTTAACCTTTAGCTCTTGGCCTTGAAAAGTGCTACAACAGCAGAAGTGATATACTGCTGTAAATTTGAAGCACATCTTCGCCCACGGACTTGTTAATGTGCTGTGCGACATCGGAGAAGTGCAGCTGACTACAATTAAGGCCATTAGCGTAGCACGGTGTACCTAAATGACGTGAGAGCTTATTAAGAGGCACTAAAAGGCAGGTCTCTTCATTAGGATTCACATTGGCACTTTTTTACTTTGTGTGAAATGTGCAGGTGGAGGAAAATAAAAAAACAAACTCTAGCAAAAAGAAGTTAAATGTTTTACTGTTTCACTTTGACCTCTCCTTGCAGGTCACCTGGAAACACACTGAATAAATGCAGCCCATTTTGCAGACTGCTGACAGCTCAGAACTGCTCACTTCTGCACATATTACATGTTCGGACCAGAATAGAAGATGCTTTCTGATGATTATTTACAGAGGGCAACAGGGTTGTGTCGGATCTTGTTCGTTAAAACTCCTTTCACCTCTCTCAAAGCTCGGCTTTGACRAGGCAAGTCCTTGCACATGGCACTTAAAGGTAAATAGGTTATTCAATTCATTAGGCTGATATGTCAGCGAGGTGTGAGCTAGATGCACGTGCCTACCCCTTCTGAAGAGGAAGCATTTGTTTATTTGCTCTGAGGAAACGTAGAAAAGAAAAGTCAAGAGGCAGTGAAGCTGGTCCCTCAGGGCCAAGTCTACCTAATGTGCCATGCTGCTCTGAAAATGTGCAGCTGCAAACTGAATAAAGACACTCACGGGAGGCACTGGCCTTAGCAAATGATCTTGTCATTTACAAAACGACAAAAAATTGGTTTAATGAAATTTTTTCTAAATTAAAAGTGCATGTAAGTGAAAGGAAATTTTGTGAAAGTGAAATGTAAATGCATCCCAGGGATGTTTCAGAAATGAATCACTTCCAGGTTTGAAAGCACCTAAGCCCTTTGGGCTTTCTATAGACACACTAGAGATTTCCTCCCTTTTACCGCAGCTGAAAACATTTATGCTGCAGTCTTGAATGTAGGAGAGTGATGACCTGCWGGAGAGTAAATGACAGAGTGACAGCACAGAGCTCAAGAGACGGAGACAGAGGAAGATGAGGAATGGAGAGGAGAGGAGAGCGGTGCTATGCAGCACTAAAAGTTCTCAGGTTAGTTTCTTTTTWTAAAGCTGAGCTGCAAAAATTCACATCAATAGCCCCCACCCCTTAAACAAAACACCAGGAAATGCAAGCAACATGTGTATTATTCCTTTATTGACAAGAYGTGTGTTGGTGCAGAAAGCTGTCAGTACATTTGGCAGTTGGAGGAGGCCTGGCAGACTGACCGCACTAATGACCTGACACTGCCTTTTCAGCTATTCAAAAGCAGCTGCCTTGGCCGTTGACACACACTAAAGTGTCAGACTAATATGCTTTCCACGAGTTTAGGGAATAAGGGATTGGGGGGTGGGGGGGGGAGGCAATGTAAAACACAGCTGCAATGGGTTCTGTGAAGATAAAGCATTAGCAGCAGTGAAAGCAATTACATATGTATTGTTAGGAAATCTCTAGCTGTCAGCTAAACTGTCACCATTCTGCTGCTCTGCCTATAAAACATGTGCACATAGATAAATTTAAACTCACCAGGAGAACTGGTTTGCTCATAATGGGGAAGATGGTAATTCTAGTCCTTATTGTGTATGAATGCTTTTGGATGTGTGAACTGAAAATAAATTAATAAAGTGAACTGATTCTTGTCAAATAAAGCAGACGTGATGTCTTAGGGAGTGGGCAGAAATCTTAGTCACCATTAATTTGGTAGAATTGTGAAGGGTCCACCCTTAAATCACTGTCTGTTTTAAAGGGGACATGTTATGCAAAATCCACATTCTTTTAGCTGTTAAATGCATTTTATTGTGTACTTGGAGTCTGTAGGAGAGCAGAAATTTTGAATTATAGATATCTTGATATTCTGTTTGGGTCAGTTTTCTCCATTTTCAGTGACGTTTTCTGAACTTTTATGGAACATTATTTGCAACAGAACTGCCAAATGAGGTCTGGATTTACCAACTACAATGCTGCTATAAAGTAATAAACCCCTCTATCAAAYGAGAATGGACTTCTTTGAATYTTTAAACATCTCGCCYCCGTCTAGCTTCCAAAGAGACAGCCTCAAAACAAGTTGATCTGAGACACATCTCAGAAAAGGGGCTTGTGGAGTTACAATAWGGAGGAATTCAGACCAAAGCATTGCAGTTCCACTTTATATAGACCCCAACTGAAATAAGTGTGAAAAAGAAGGATTTAAAAGCAAGATATGTCTCCKTTAATAATTTGATTTCACTGAGCCAGACTTTATTGAAATCTAAGTAGTCTAAATAATTCATCAAACTTTCTTAAGGTCTTTTAAAGTTTTTTTTTTTTTTTGGACTTTGACTGCTTTGTCCCTCATTTTCTGTCTAATTCTTGCATCATATAACATAATGAACAGCTTATGCTTAAAAGGAGGAAAGTGGAGGACACAAGGCCTAAAATGCTGTACAACAGATTGATCATGTAAAAAAAAATCAACATGAAAACTTGGCTCCAAATTCAAATTAAAAAATGACAAATGATTTGACTTTGGCACAGTACTGTATATAATGAAAACTGCTCAMGTTTTATATTTAGATTTCCTTTCCTGTCAATAACACACACATGCRTATTATTGTCTTGTCCAATATCCTTTGACATGTGCCTCGAGTGGAGGCCTTGGATTTTGGTGCGACTGGAGCAATGCTGTTCAGCTAAAAGGAAATGAGTTCTCTGTATTGTCAAACATGTCAATGGGGAACGTTTCTCCATTTATGCTATTTGAGTAAGGCTCATGATTGTGCAGAGAAAACCCACCTCTTTACTGATTGAGTTATTCTCTGGGTGTGTCTGAGGTACAATTTACTTGAATCTATAAAACAACTTTACCACCGCACAGTTTTACTCGGGTTAATATGTTTCTACCATATCTCTTGTTACAAAGTTTTCAAATAATCAAAACTTAAATTCACTTATGCTTTAAATAATGAGGTCAGAACTTAAATATTCAAAAAGAAGATGCTTGTCTAACCTGCACAGGCAGGTTACAACAACACATAAGGGAAATGCCTAGGTGGCATCTCCTGAAAAATTTAAAAAATCCGTCGTTCTATGAAAAGTTTTTCCTTCTGGGTGACTGGAAACTCAGAGGCCATGATCTTTTTAACATTTAATGTTGTCCTTTTGAACTCTGCTCCTGTGGAGAAAACACCTGGGCATTGGAAGGTTACAGCAAACCACCCATGACTTTGAGTATAAATAGAAATGTGAAAGTATTTCTGGGACTAGATCTCTTAAGATGTTCCCTCTGCAGTGGAAAACACATGAAAGCATTTTAATGGATACTCTGAAACAATGCTGTGGGCGATGGATTAACCACCCACAAAAACCGTATTAATCTTTTTGCATAAGGAAGTACCACACAATTTGAATTCTATTATGAACTTTCTTAGTTCTGCTTTGTAGCACAGATAATGACAAACATCTTTTTTGATGTTCAACAGTATGAAAACTGTAATGTGTTTTATATGGATTAACACTAGGCCTGCCACAATAAGTAATAAATGTATTGCATAATAGATTAAAATGGTAATTTTTTCACATAAATTTCATAAACTTCTGTAAACCTATTATCATTATATAAGTTTAAAATGGTCTCCAAAAATATTATTTATCACAATAATTTCTGAAACCATTTATCATCCAGCATAACTATGATAGGCCTAATTGACACAGGTACAAGATAAAAAGATACCAGTAATATAGGGCTGCGCGGTATATGCGGTAGACGGTAGAAACGGTATGAAGTTGGCCTACGGTAGAAATTTACCCTCTACTGTCATATCGTCATTACACCTGTGTCAGCATGGCTGTGAGTTCAGAGACAACTGAGCAGGAGTTTGAAATATAATGAAGAAATTGTAGTGTTTTAAAACACACATTTATATATGTACTCAYATATATAAATCCTCAAATTTTCCCCCTTCCGCTGCAGAAAAGTTGCGTTGTGTCGCGGGATCATTTCCCCCTCCCCTCCCTCCCTCCCTCCCGCTGCACGTTGCGCAGAGCGAAGCTTTAACTACCGTAGTATTTTCACACCCAAGTTGTCGGAGAAAAAACTTGTTTTTTTATGTATTGTCACCCACAGAGATGATAAAAATCCATCTTGCTAATGTCGGCTTGTGCTCTAAGTGCAGCTCAGCAGCGAGTCAGTTCAACAGGCTCACGGTATGGCAGGCCGATGTTGCATTTATTTGGCTTCACCACACTTACATTCCAGTTATCTGAAATTGTTTTATGACTAGATAAGACATATTAGTTATTTAGGATAAAATAAAATGTTTTCTTTTATTATTTATGTTTTGTTTTATTTACTTATTTTGTTGAACTTGGGGATCTTTCCAGCTTGAGCTTGTTTGTTTGTTGAAGTTGATTTTTGAMAATAAGGGGCACATATGGTAGTTTTTTCTTCACTCTGCACCCTTTTAATTCAGGGTAGAATTTACTTTTTTTAATGGTGTACATAGATTGTTTTTTATATATATAAATGAAAGAAACAAATAAATAGACATCTCTTAATATATTTTGACAATTCAAAATACCTATTTAAGATATCTCTAATTAAATTCTGACTAGTATGAATAATGTCAGATTTATCATTAAGTTGTATGGAGACTCCAGTTCAAGATATCTTAAATGTACAGTGGTTTGCAAAAGTATTCATACCCCTTGAACTTTTCCATATTTTGTCACATTACAACCACAAACATAAATATATTTCATCCATCCATCCATCCATC